TTTGTCTTTTTCACCAGCGATCTTTCCAAAGCCCGATGAACGGTTCTTAGCGATTTGTCAACACCTTTGTTCGTTGCCCATGTTTCAGTGGCGTAGCATAGAGCAGGGAGCACGGAAGCATCGAAAAGATTGGCACGTACTAGAGGGTCTTGAATCTCGTTCGTCACTTCTCGAATTCTTGCCATGGCTGCCCACGCTGCTCTTTTCCGGCGGTCAATTTCATATTGCAAATCATTTTGCATGTTAATCTCGCGACCGAGATAGATATATGATTTGACGTTTTCTACAGCTACGCCTTCAAGGTATACTTCACCATCGTCGCACCACTGATTCCTCATCGTCTGCGTTTTTCTCATGTTCATCGATAGTCCAATAGCTTTTCCAGCTTCACAGAGTTCGTTCAGAAGTGAATTCATCTCTCTGCTATTGTTGCTTATAAGGACTATGTCATCCGCGAAACGTAGGTTTGACAATTTCTTTCCGTCTACCGCCACGCCTTTGTTGTCCCAGTTCAATCCCACCATGACATGGTTAGAGCTGTCGTAAAACAATTAGGGGAAATGGTGTCCCCTTGACGGACTCCTTTTTCGATTGGGATGCGTAGTTTCCTGTCAAACATCTGAATGATCGTCGATGTCCCACTATTACATTTCTCTAAGACATTGACGTAGGTCGGATCGACTCCTGCATGTTGTAAGGCGTCAGCACGATCGGCATTATCTCGACGCGATGTCAAAGCCTTAGTTAGACTATACTAAGACGACTACATTATAGGGAAAATGGCGAAAAAGTGAAGCAAAACGGTCAAAAACTTGCAAAAAAGCTCTTGTTCTACGCGATTCAGGAAGCAATTTCGGACGAGATTCCCGCGCCCTTCCCATGCCACTAGCGCTACGATAGAACCGCTGCATGTTTGTTCTTATATATTCATGCAGCACTGGAGCCCCTCATATCGATCCCTTCGCTTCATACTGTACATCGCAAATGAAGCGATGCGAGCATTAGCCTCAGTCGAACATTTATGGGTGGGCCGGAGCGGTGGGCGTCCGGATCGGTACGTTGCAGATGACAGGTCGGTAAATAAGCCTACCCTTCTTGAAAAAAGGCACCACGCATTGCCTGTCAGGGGCGCGAATTTCGCTCTGGTAGCTATTTATTCAGCACTTCTTAGGGATTTAGCCTGTGTGACCCTTGCCTCAGCAAACTTAGCAATTCTTTTCCCGCAATTTAGTAAAATATCCCTCCCCCCTAGAAGGACGGCGCCTACAATTATCACAAACGGCAATATTGCGCACCAGAGCAAGCCCGCCACGTTCAACTGTAGCAGCTTCACATCTTCAGGAGACGGGAAACACATGCTTGGTGCGCAGCCCGCTGGCAGCTACGCCTTTCGTTAAATTCATTTCGGTGCAACTGCATAAACCTGGACCACCCCCTGTTCACTTCCAAAGCGTGATCCTAACTATCGCGCTGTGTCTGTCGTCTCGTTATGCCGACCCTCAGAACCGACATGGGTAGGAATGATTTTCGGTGTGCGGTATGTTCAGAAGCTATAGTGGCCTCTTCGCAAGCCAGGATGACGTCGACCACATAAATGGTTGAGGAGAGACGGCAGGCTCCAGAAGCGCTAACAACAGTGATGCAACGTGTAGTCGCAAACTTCCATTTAGAAGTATGAGCCTTCAAGATCAACCGGTCGTGGTCGCAAATCGTCACTGGACAACGGACAGCCAAATGCAGCCGTAAAACCAAAGTCAGAGATACACTCGAGGGTACGGACAAGAACTAGGTGTACAGCAAGCCACTGTGGAAAGACATAGGAAACAAATTGGGAAGCCTAAGGAATTGCAGAAGTGGGTGCACGAATTGAGGGAACAACAAAGAGCAATTTAGCGTAGTGTCAATATGCAATCTCGCTTTGAGGCATGAGAACAGAGCTTTTTCTTGGTCCCATCCTTTTTTATTTTTTTCCAGTGGCGGAGGTGGCACAAGCGGCATGCTTATCAGGCGTTGGTGAAGGGGTCAGCTGGCTTCCACCGAGGTCACCCAAGCCTCCTACTCTAGGGGCAGCGGTACCAGATAAATGGAAAGATATGAACAATGACTTTTACCTCGGCTGGCCCCGCAAGTAATGTTATAGGCCACATCGCATTCAATAAGCCTAGAATGCATGTCGCATCGCAAGATGGGACTGATCAACGGGGTAGACATTATCCCCTCTCCTCTTGCCGCATCTCTTCCATCGAAGAGGTCCATACATCACCATTTCATTTGTTACAGATAGTTCCATAGGAATAGGAAACTTGCTTGAAGTTGCACGGCCTCCCATCCCATTGGGCGCTCCTTCCGCTACATGCGGCGAGTCGATCCTTTCTGCAGTATGCTTGTTTCCTCGTCACCTATGCAGCCTATTTTTGGAAGCAACCCACAGAAAAAAAGACAAAAGCGGGAGACGTTGGCAATCTTTGAAATTCAGGTTTCTAAAAACAGGACCATGCCTCCAAAGCCTACCGCTTGATGCGGGTAAGTGGACAGTACGTTTTTTACTCATCTCTTGTACCTTCAACATTCGTCGGACCGACGAACCTGATTGTGAGACCACACGCGGTTGGCGATCAACGACTTCAGTGTTCGAGTTACGAGCAGCAAATCGTGAAAAGAACGATGATTATGGAACAAACAGTGTGCTGCCTTCCAGTCTAGGAACGGCAATCCTGAAGAGCCTGCACGCAAAGGAGACGATCATGGAAACAAGGCACCTGCTCCAGGTTGACATGAATGCGGTAGATATTCTAGAGTTCGTCCGCAGTGATGGAGGTCTTCTTCTCCTTTTGGCGATGAAGACCTTGGTGGAGTGTTCGCTTTCGTCTATAGACGAACATCTCAGAAATACTTTTCATAGAATATTTCACCCAAACGCACATTCGCCTTGCCTTGAGGCTGGCGCAAATCTTGCGCTGTGTGCCTCCATGCGAATGTTCCATGACAATTGGGATCCTGAAAAGTGCTCAATGAGTGCAGAGTAGAGTTCTTGCCAGATACCTGGTGGCAACGTTCAGCTTCACCATCAGATCGTTGAAGACAATTGCACACTCACTCCAAGGATATTGCCTGCCATGTGCGAGGTGAGTGCATCCAGAACTGCAGTGCCAAGCCGCTTTCTCGGCTCAAAAGGGCCGCGATGCCATGACTCCGGAATGGGCAGCACACGACTCCGCATGTGCTGCCTATTCCCAATCGCACGCCAAGCATTGTTTTCCCCTTCACTCTGGCTGCTCTGTACCTGTGACTGCGTCTTCGCCGCGGAATTTCGGTATCGATTGAGGGCTGCACCTTAAAGGCAGTTAGCACGATACATTGCTAAAATGAGCAGAATTAATACACTTGGCAGGACGGAATTCCGCGACCCTGAGCGGACACTGCGCAGCGCCTTTTCCAAAGAATGTACCCTTGTAAAATCATATCAAGCTACAACATACCGACCCGAACGCTCACCACGCCTGCCCGTCCACAAATGGACGCATGTCGGAATACCCAATGCTCATATTGTCTCTTTGCCCTAATACTAAATTGAAGCGAGGGATTGGTATGAAGCGGCCGGCTGCGGTGGCTGCATGGTATTATGAGCATTATGCATAGCGTGGGCAGCCGTACCCACCGTAGCGATTTTGGGGTGCAAGTATGCCTAACAAGCGGATACTCGTCCGAAAATCTGGCTTTTAGAATCATTGAGAAGAAGCGCTTTTCTCCGGCCGGTTTTTGACCGTTTCAGCTTCGCTTTTTTCGCCAATTTCTGCCTCTAGTATGCACCGGCCACCAAATTAGCGTGCCCAACTGGCCTTGAGAGCATGAGGCACGGGCGGACCTTCTCCAAACAGGCGGCCCCGATTATGCACTACCTTTCCGGGCTTATCGCAAAGACGAAAATGTTACGCTCCTACATCTGCCATTTCATTCTTCAAGGACCGCCCTCGGTGGTTAATGTGCAGTCTGTTTTTCATTGAAATAGCATACTTCATTCCGCTCCTTGGAAATCAGTACAGTACTTCGTCCAACCTCGATCGAGCTTCCAAACGCTAGTGCTAAAGAGACATGGCTAAGACATCCTTCAGAATTCAGCGCAGCGTGTGATCTTTGTGGAATGGCCCGGTGCAAGAACCCATGATCAGAGCACGGCATCGTGATGTGTGAAGTGTGGAGGTGGTGTAGGTACGTCGCGCTCGTCTCTCCGTTCCCCATACGCCTACCCTAATATACTTCTCCCACATTTTGCAGTTATTCCAAGGGGCACTCATCATTGGTTTGGGGATCTTGGTGAAGCGGCCGTACGACCCCCACCCCCCTTTTTGGGGGCTTCGCGTAGCGGACCCCGCCCTATATATAACTGTATGAAGTTCTGCTGACCCCCCCCCCAGCGAGAAGAAAGCTTCATAAGTTTATATGTATAAGTGAGCGCGAAAAAAGGAAAAAGTAACAATCCTGAATGAGGCCCTCCTCGCTTTTTGCTCATTTCTATCCTGATTCAGAAAAGAGAATAAAAAAGAAAAGGCCTTCAGGTTTCAACCACCTTTCCTCTTCAAAACAAACTGCTGTGGGGTTACTCTGGAAATAATTGGCACTTCTTGAGAAGAAAAAAAAAAAACAGGCGAAATTAAGCGCCAACTCCTCCTAAGAGCACTTTGAGCGGTTCAAGCAAAATTGCTGGGGCGCGCTTTGACGCGCATTTGAGTAAACTGAGAAGAAGATAAGTATTCGATATTTGAGTAAGCCGAGAAGAAGATAAACACGAAATGAGTAAATACGAACGAGAGCAAACCAGCCGAAATCAGCTGATTAAAGGCCGAGGTACCGGGGGAGGGATTCTGGGCAGGACCTCCAGCCGCAAGGTGGTTGCAGGTGGTTTGGATGGAGTGCGGATTTTCAGCAAACTGGTGTCTTTAAAGGACCATAAGCTTCCGTGAAGTAGTGGACCTTTGGGAAAGGAACAATGGCTTCTGTATTGGAGAAAGATTTAGTTCTTTCATGAAAACATACTAACATGGGCATAAAGTCGCCGAATTTCATGTAAGAAAATTTGCGTTGAGCGGGTTTTTAGGGAGTTCATTTTGGTGGATAGGTCGGAGGGCGCGAGTTTTACGTGCAGTTTGAACGCAAAGATTATTTTTCCTTGAACCCTAAACAGTAGGCGCGGAATCTGAAACTTACTGTCGAGTTCTAGAAGATTTGCTCTTTCCAAAAACTACTTGAACGTTTTTTGAAGCTTCCGGGAGTCATGAGATAATTGCGTTGGGGATTATTTGGGGAACACTCCGAACTGTTCGAAAGTCCCGTTTTCTGTGTACGGTTTCAAGGAGCGTGTTCGAATAGCCAGAAATACATGTAGAACGTATCCTGTGGTGGAGCAGGAGCAGGATGTGGTTTGTTTAGCGTCAAGTCGATGGGCTGACTTTGGATGCGCCGCGCACTGAGGTCAGCGCAGAGGTGATGGGATGGTGCAATTTGAGCGTAATGTCTGTCCACGCGAGCAAATGTGTCTATAGGGATTCAGAGCGGTCCATGGCAAACCTCAGCTGTACTTGTTTGATAGCTAGTTTTTTTCCATTGTTGTATGATGGAGGCGCTTGTCCCTGTCGACGCCGCCAGATTCGTGTTCCCCAATCGCTGATTCCGATGAAGGAGACCAACTGCTGGAAAACGTCTGATACGAACGATATGGTAGTCCTGTCGTTTGTCGAAAAAAACAGGTTGGCTCAGCGCCAAGCGCGATCGCGGACACGCCCCATCATCCGCAGCGAACCAGAAAGCAGTGGATTGCATTACGTCTTTGCTTTATGTCAGCTTACGAGAAGATGTCGACTTTAATAGGATAATTGCCAGTTATTTCTGGTCATTAGTTTGATAGATGAGAATAGTTTGTACTATCTTTTTTTACAGTATCCCGGAGTTCTCTTAGCGATGTGCAAATTTCGCTGTAGACGGGACTCTTCAGGGACACTGCACAGCCCCTTGCGCTGCTCTTGTCGCTGTAGCAGCGCACTCATTGGCGACCCCCCCCCCCGCTCTCCTGGCGGCCCAAACCCGTACGACCCCTCACGGCGCTGGTTGAGGCAGTTCCCCACAACCAAACGATGTGGCCCTGGGTTTTTTGCACCCAAAGTTTTCCGTCAGGAGTGGAAAAGGTTGAATGAGCACGGGGAGTAAGTTAGCCACATGTGAAAGCGGGCAAGATGTGTTTAAGAATTTACCGCACTTCGCAACCCACCTTTTCCGAATTTGAGGGCGAAATTTCCTCAGAGAAATCTCTGCGTTGTCGCGGGCGACGTTGAAGAGCCGGAGGTATATTCATACGAGAAAACTAGGACAAAAATCGAACCGAAAAGTCAACAAAGGGGAAAATTTTTCCCAACGCATCAAATTCCTCTTAAAGCCACATACGACCCCGCCCCCTTCCCTCCCGACTGAAATGTACGAACCATCTATGTGCTTTCACACAACGATGTTGTGTACGCCTGTCATTAATGCTAAAAGTGGTTAAAAGCAACACGACTGTTTTGAGCTCCGAATTTCGCAAGAATTCTTTACACACCTGTCCGCTCGGACCTTCGAATACGTTGATCGGGAACCAGTGAATTCGGAGTGTTTACGTCCTTTTCTGGAACAATTTGTTCGAAGTGCTACAGAGCCTTCTTTTTTTCCGAAAAAAAGCGACAGCGTGAAGGCCACGATTACACATCGTAGCACTTAATCATGCTGCTGGAATCACAGGAAAACAATCCATTATAACTATACTGCAAGGTTTACTCACAGACTGTTAATAATTGTAGCAATCGTATAAACAGACCAGTAATGCAAGCGGGTGTGTCAGGCGAAAGCCCACAGGCACTATAATATACTTATCACAACTTCGAATAAAAATGTGAAACCTCAACACAGAATCATCAAAAATATACAATTTACAAGTATAATTCATAAACGAAATATGAGAGGGTGCGAATTTCTTAATGAAACCAGCTTAGATGGACAATCGAGACTCTCCGAAGCAAAAATGTTTTAGTAGGAGCAATACCCTCAGGGAGCACCCGTACAGCGAATGAGACAGAGCAAAACCTCGCTACCTGGAAGGGTACAGTGACTGTGCACGTTAAATAAGTCGTAGAAGAGAAATATAAGCAGTTATGAAAATGTGAAGAAAAAATGTTACGTAAACCGGGGAACATCAAACAAATTGAATAACAGGCAAATGACTAGAAAAAAGGAAACTCAACATATATATGTCTAGCATAAATTGAAGCATCAGGTCAAATGGCTGGGAGAAAGCGACACCAAACGTGGATTAATTACATGAAAGTAACAAAAAACAAGCACTTTACATTGTACCTAGCTTATGATGAAACATAGTTCAATCGAAATGGCATAGAACTTCATGCGCAGGATTCCTGAGGGAAAGAAGGCGATTCCACCTGATCAGTGAGGGCTGCGTCGACTCGCATACCATGAACAGCACGTTCCAGCCATCTGATTTCAATCTGAATGGCAAGCGCCCGCACACCTTCATCGACGGTTGTGTTCTTCGACAGGCGGATGCAATGTTCAAGCAAATCAGATTCCATGAGCATTGTCATGTATCTAGAAAAAAAATAATGAAGTGGTAGTCCCGACTGAAAAACGAAAGGGATTTTGAAAACGACACATACCCCATAGAAACAGAATTGGCGTCACTATGAGAAAGCACGTGGTTTACACCCCACAAACACCACATCTGCGCACCAACAAGTGACGTCTCGTTGAGAATGCGCACGAAAGGCTCGAAGGATCTGAATATTGCGTCCATTTAATTTCAGATATCAGCATCAAGATCGATGTTAATAGTCGAACAAACCTGTACGAAACCATAGGTACTGTAAGCATGGGCCACTGGCGAATCGACTTCACCATACGTTCATTCACTTGTTCGCGGGATAAGTTAGCACCATGGGGCCAGTTTTCACAAAGCAACATGTTGGCTAAAACACCTGCGGCGAAGTAGCTTCGTTCAACAGCACGGTTTCGTCCAGCTCCATCAGCACGAGTAAAATCTCCATCAAGACATTCACTGAAATGCAGCGAATAGCAATGAAAATCGAGGAAACTAAATACGGGAGACGGACAAGACAATCGGCATTTGCCGCGCCATCGCGCGCGGCGCATTATGATGCGTTGCCCGCCAAATACTGAATGTGTCAAGTTTATCGATTGGATTAAGCAAACTCATGGCCATTTAACAATCGGAGCAAGATTCCTTGCGACGATTCCGCATGTTCGCCGGTCTCTTTTGAGCATGTTCAAATGCAGTCGAAAGGCAATACATGCTCGTCCGTTTTTTTTTTTTTCTCATGGCATCGCTGCACTCCGCCACCGCGCCCACGCTTTACGATCGTCTGTCACATCTCATAAAGCGCTAGATAAACTACACAACATACGCAAAGAGCTTGCCAATTTCGATTCTGTAGCATCAAGAGTTTCTGCTCGTATACTTCGGCGACATTGTTCTGAAAAATAACACATATGACTGAAAATAACTGAAAGTACCGATTCCGAAAATTTTACAGATAAGGGCTTACCAAAGATTCCTAGTACTTTGTTTGATGTTTGTTTGTGATTTTCAAATAGTCGCAGGATATCAAATGAAACTCCGATACCATTTTCTTGAGCGAAAACCACACAGGTGGCCGGACAGTCGTCTAAAAATACACAAATGGAATGGACATACTGAAACCTATTAATCGATTGAGTTCAAAACAATCGGAAATTACAATTGCTGGCAGATGTTAGCTGGGAATCGTCCGACATTCGAGTGTGAATGCTTGGCAACTTACCCGTTAGATTCCACAGGGCACTCAAAGTGAACTTCAGAGTGTAGAGCGAGTTCTCAGCACGAACACCGTTTGAATTGCGAAAATGATCTAAAAATAATTCATTTTGGCATTCAAATTTACTAATGTATAAAGAGCAACATCACTTTTTTGAACTACTGCACATTACCTTCAAATTGTTAGTGCGGCGGTAGCCCAACTAGGGGGGGGGTATAAAAAATACAATAAAAAACCTAATAAAACAAATTTGTCTCTTGAGATCGAAGGATCTAGAGATAGACTCTGTGATCCACTTTTCATGAAGTACAATGCCCACTTTCATGAAAGTGTTCAACTACTCACTCCGGAGCCAGTCCCCAAGTAAGTGCAAAAATCCTCATAATTCTTGTTCACAACTGTTTTTTTGCACTTCCCTGCATAAAATGCATTTCAGCCGGCGGAATGGCACGCGACTGAATCCTAAAAATTGCAAGGTCCCAAAAATTCCCCCGCCCAATGAAGCGTACTTGCGCGGTCAATACATCATATGAGTTGTAAACAAACCCGCGAAAACTTTAGCGAGCCCTCGAGAAACCCTGAGGGATTAAAAAACAAAACACCAAAGAGCAATAGGTTCAGGGTAGAAATAATTATTGGCAATAATATCTTCCGGACTTACTTAGATTTTGTTCCATTAGATGAACAAGATGTTTCACGTAACGTACATCGCTGGCCAGGACTCGAGCATCTTGAGAGCGCATTTTTGGCGCAACAATTGACACTATGGCTATGGTCATCCTGAAAAATACATTATTAATTCATCTATTCATAACTATTTACACCTTACACCACGAGTTTTTTGACAGATGCGTAGCATTCAGTCATAATATGCGCCTATAGGACACTTCCCTGGGGATTTTCTGCAAATCACGACTTTTCCCCTCTCCCCCCCCCCACGCACACACACAAGATTAATCCGTACGGTAAGACTTCCCTTCCCATCCTCTATCCAACCATCCATCTTCCTGATTTTTCACAACATCCTAACAATTTTCCAGCTATTTTTTTTCAAGAAGTTCTTAAGTTTTATAAAACTGTCATTGGTCAGGGAAGCGCTCTTGAAATAGGAGAAATCGTGAAGGGTCAACGAAAGAAAACATTTTTATCAGAGGCCACTACAACCTCCCTCTCCCACCTCCTCTACGACCTTCCCCGCAGGGATCCCCATCTTTCGAAAAGTAGACGCGCCCTGTGCGCCTCTGAAGAAACGATGGAACATGTAACTTACCTTGAAACACCAGCATCCGTATTGATCAGCATGCTTTCCAGTGCAACCTTGCAAGTTCGGTAGAAATTGATCCCGGAAAGTTGGAGAAGATAATCGTTGCATATCGTCAACCATACATTCTTTTGCAGCTGAAAAAGAGAGAAATCGGTCGCAATTCAACGGTATCATATTATGCCGAAATGTACCTGCGTTGTTTCTGGATAAGTTTCAGCAGCATCAAGGCACCGATCGACGCATTTTCGGACAGCTGATATTGAAAGACGAGAGATCCGCTTCATCCTGAAATATCATACGCATTAGCAAGTCTTTTTATTAGGCATTACGTAATCGATACACAATGAAAACAGTCTCATTCGCTGCGGATGATGGGGCGTGTCAGCTTAGATAGGTGTGGCGAGGCGCCAAACCCTTTCCCACCCAGTTACTGAAAAGAGTGGGCGACAATAATTAGTGTGAAAAGGGTTTGCCGCCGCGCCGAACGCATCCCGCCTAACACGCCCGTTCATGCGCAACGAAAAAGAATGCATAGAATCCACTGAAAAAATGACTCACTTGCAGAGGTGGTAAAGACAAGCGCTGCCGGCCATTTGAACACCAAGATTGTGCAGATGTTTGCGCAATGCCGCACAAACCACTGCTGCACATTCAGCTATTTCACTATCCGAGAAATCATCATAACCGCTTTGTAACATGTAGTAAACACAATGCAAAGCGTGTGCAGTGAATGCATCCCTGAAGCGATACAAAATAGTCCAGTATGAAAGCCAAGATGTAACCGAAGAGTAATCAAACCTGTCAGTATTCCAGTAATCATTCAAAGCCATCACTGCTTGCGTTCTGGTAGCGCAATTAATGATTTGTACATCTCGTTCCACCGGAACAACGTAGGAATGCCCGTCGAGGGGAGTTGCTATAAAAACGAACTCTGTTGTAAACAAATCACACTTTCCGTAAGACAACGATCACAAAAAATGATTCAATATGTCTTCGCAAAATCAGTGATCTCTCTGTACTACAAACCATAAAAGGCAATTCCAGTTGAAAGGCTGGTCGGCTTCCTACAGCCTATCCATTACAAGGACCCTTCTGGTCAATTTAATATTTTATCGATCAAAAAAATGGGAATTTTCCTACTCCTGGCGAAAATTGATAATCCCTATGGATCTACAGATTGCTTGAACACGACTCTCGAAGGACCAAATAACTAAGCGTTTCCCTCTCCTCCAAAGGCGAGCAGAGATGCTTGTTGCCTTCTGCTTCAAGACCTTTGCCCCAACCTTCTACATGGTCACTTCTTTCATAGCACTGCAGTCTTCCCGAACAGGCCTATCTTAGGGTTCACCATACGTTCTGCCGCCTCCACATTTCGCAGATGAGATGTGCCTCGATGTGCATTTCATTTGAACGGGCGACGGGCTGCGCTTTTGGTGAGATATTACCTTTTGAAACGCTGTTAACATATATCTGTTCAGCGCAGGGTAGGATGACTATTGTCTCACAAAGAAAGATCCCATACAAAACGCATCCTACCAGCACGTAGCCACACCGTCCCATGTCCAGGATATGTCCCAATCACGGCCCTTTACCCATT